GACTCCAAACCTCCCTCCACCCGCTCATTGTAGTGTTGATGCATGTGTGTTCTAAGGTGCATTTAAAACCCAGGAGGGCATGGAGCTACCTGCCAGAGAGCAGCAGGTAAGCGCATGGTCCCTCCTGCATCCGGTGCATGGTCCCTCCTGCACCGGATTTAAGGTCTTGTAACCTTAAATCCGGTGAGAGGAACTCCTGATGCTTCAGCATACCGAGACATTTTGGGCAATGTCACATTTCCAACTTTGTGGGAACAATTTGGGAATGACATGGACGAGCAAGTTTGGTCTGAAAAGGTTCCTGACATGAACCCAACAGAACACACGCAGATGAATTCGAGCTGAGACTGTGAGCCAGCATCAGTGTCTGACCTCACAGATGTGCTTCTGAATAATGGTCAGACATCCCAATTAAAACCTTTGTGGAAGCCTCCCTAGAAGAGTTTAAGCTGTTATACCTGCAAAGAGTTGGACGATGTTATATTAAACCCCGTGGATTCAAAATGGGACGACACTCAAGTTCATATGCTTGTGAAGGCAGACGAATAGTTTTGGCAACACTGTATGTGGAATTACCCAGTTCATGATGTATTTACATGTGCATTGATAAATCAGTAACACAGAGCTCTGCACCCATGAACAGTGTGATTCTTGTTTAAAGGCATAAACATTTCAGCACTTATATCTATTTCTTATCTAGATAACACACAAAAAAACGAATCAGAATTTTATGAAGCGAGAAAAGAACCCACAACAGAAGTAGTCTGGTGTGGATCCAGTGCATTACTCAAGGAGAACGATGTCTTCTGTGTGATTTCTAACATTTCCTATAAATAAAAAGTTCAGACTTTTCAGTTAATAGAGTCTAAACCACACAGCAGCCCTGCCTGTGGTTGGCAAGCAGATGGTTTACGCAGATTATCAGGCTCATGAGCAGATTAGCTTAGCGCTTCAGTGACAGGTTACTTGATGGACTTGTAGATAAAGCCTCTCTCCGCCTTTCTTTAATTAGAGTGAGACAAAAGTTACAAATGGCTCGTTTAGGATAAGCAGATGACTGTGTCGTAAAGAGTGAACAAGCTGGCAGGTGGCAGTGTGCTGTCAGAGGAATGAATACTGAAATAAAATAGTGATGTCACAGTGTACCGTTGTGTCAGGGTGCTGGAAACAGCTGTTTCATGCTGCTCATTTCAGTCTTCATATTTTTATTCTTCTACTCAGGCAGCTGTGCATGACTCACACTGCAGATGCTTATTCTCTTATATTGAACCGTCAGTTTGAGTTTGTAAATGTGGTTAATGTTGCTGGTGGTCATGTTTATAAGTGATACTGTGAAATAAAGGCATCTGACAGGTTCTCTTTCTTCTCGTCTCCAGTCTCTGTGTTGATCCTGAAGCAGTATGGAGGAGAGTGACCTGCTCCAGGAGAGGCTCCAGGCCATCACTGTAATGCTCCCGTCTACTCTGAGCAGTCACAGACACTTGTGCTACACTTCTAAAGATATCTGCTTATCTATGTGACAATTATTCACACTTTCATTTAGAAGTTTTAGAGCATGATGCAGATGTTACTGAGACATGTACAGTCTGTACCTTTTTTCTTTTTTTACTGTACTCTAAAATAAAACATGTAACTTACAAATAATTATTATTATTTAAATAAGTAACAAATTTAATCTTTGTGGCTTTTGACTCTAAAAAATGTAAATTAGTACTTTTGTCATTTGTTTATGACCTTTTTCTGTCCTTTAACATTCACTTAACTTTGGAACATTTAAAACTTAAATGAAACAGTTTAAACTACTCTGAGGATTAGTTTGCTTTTGTAGCCAAGTACAGGACAGGGTAGGGGAAGTTAAAGTAGGATGGAGAGAATGGGCCAATAGCTCGACTCGCAGGAGGGTCATGGTGAGTGGCGTGCAGAAGAATGAGTGGAGCCACAGGTAAAGTTGCTTTGAATTGTACTGAATTATATAGCAACAATTAAACAGCACTTCATAAACAGGAATGAAACATTAAATAAGATACAACAACAGCAATAATAATAGTAACCAGAATCCTATCTGAGCTCAGATAGGTCAGTCTTGCCGGCTTAATAGTCAGTGTTCAGTGATTTTGTCCAACCG